CAGTCCCATGAGACAAAAAGCATTTTGCGTTGGGATGGGTCAGCACAGTTCTGTTCTTCAGCTGCTGCTGCTGGGGATCCTGACAGCAAAGTGTTTGCCTGTGGAAAATCTCCAGGAGTTTTTTGAGGGTTACGTCCTCATGTTAAAACTGAGCCCCAACCCTCAGTCTTATGTAGCAGGATGGACTGAATTATACACATGGGTGTTGTTAGCAACTGTTTTACTGGTGGGTTGTATTTTTCTGGTAGGTGCATGCTCCAGGCATACTGGCAGGATATGTTTGGCTGTCCAATTCTGCATCCACAGACTTGTTTGGCTGTCCCAGGCTGGCTGTACTTTGCTGTTCTTACTGTTCCTGAGATGCTGTTGGTTTTGGGTGCTGGGCTCCTTTTGTAGTGGCATATCCCAGAGTGCAAGCTCTGCTCAAAATATGTCTTGGTTTTTTTTTTGTTTTGGTGGGCTCAACCCATCCATGAAACCTCTTCTGTCTCTGAGGGTTTCCCATCTGAGGTCTAGTGGGGAATCCTCTGTGCAGCTTCTTCAGACAGCTGGAGTCAGAGAACCAGCAGAGGAGGCGAGTGTTTCCTAAGAGTCCCTTCAGGACTGCAGGATCGAAGCAGGAGGAAATGGGTCTTCATGCAACTCTCAGGCAGGTGATAGCCTCCAAACCAGCCACCAAAGGGTGATCCAGCACCCGCCGTCTTCCCAGCTTGACCTGGGTTGGTGGAGAACTTGAGAGGACCAAGCCTGCACTGCCTTCTTCTGGTGGGGAGACATTACTTCCGCCATCTACTTCTTCACCAGCCAAGACTGTAAGCACTTTAGAGGGATTTGTCCCTCCACGGGGTGGCACCTGCCCCTCCAGGGGTTCCTTTTATACAGTTACAGGGGTCTATATAAAGTGCTGCCAACTGGAAAGTATTTTGAAGAGATTCCTCCCTGCTCTTCACTAAGGGTCATAAATTCAGCTGGTATTTGAGAGAATCTCAAATGTACTTCCAGGACTGTTTGCCGAGGGCTTTACATCCGCCAGAGGCCCCTTAAAATAAAAGGATTATCGGGAGTCAAGTGTTAGATTACCTGGTGCTTGTTAATTGAACTTCAGAGGCTTTAGCGAGCAACTGGCTCTAGCTGGGAGCAGCACTTTGGTATTAATGGTGTTATATAAATGAATATAATGTAACCTAACGTCATGCTTCCGCATCATGCCACATCTCTGGGCTCAGGGCAGTGGTGAGTCCAGCTTACAAGCATACCGGATATGGGAAAAGGCAGGGTGGAGAGAGGGGGAGAGGGATTGGGAATCCCAAGGCCTTTGGGATCTGAGGCAAGCGGGTTTTTCAGTGCTCAGAGCAGCGGACTGGTGTTCAGGCACCCGGAGTCCCGTTCA